AGACTCAATGCAAGACTCAAAAAGGACTTTTATTTGGATAGATTTCCAATTAGATTGGGAATGGGAAGCGCTGTTCTTTGAAGAGTATTTGTTTTAGTTACATTTAATGCACCAGAATAACTATACTCATGTTCATAATACAAACCGAACAGTCTTCTCTCCTCTCTTTGCCCAATTTGGGCCATTTGCATGCTTAACAAATGCCCATGTAATTCCTTGTAACCATCGCCACACACAGCGACAAATCCGATATGACAGAAACAGACATGCTTTTCATTGATTCAAGTGTTTGCCCTCTTCAGGTTAAAAGGTAATGGGTGAGAGGGTGAGGGTCTACATTCTCCAACAGAAGGTACAAGTGTGAATCAATGGCAGGGGCACTAATTATTATTATAATTATTATTTTATTTATTTATATTCCACATTCCTCCCTGTACAAGGACTCAAGGCAGCTAATATCTCCCCTCTCCTGATTTTGTCTCATACCATCACCAGAAGCATTTTCTATTTAACTTGAGTCAAACACAAAGAGTAAGCAAAGCAGCAGAGAAAAGTGTCTGAAACTACAAGGGATCCTTGGCATTGGACACTTGCTGAGATTGGTGGTGTCTGGTAGTTCCTATGTCAGTGGGGTGGTTAATCTGCTCTGGATTTTAGTCTAAACTTAAAGGAATGATCTAACATGCTGTGCCCCTGTTCAGGGGAATAAGGTTCAACACTTGTCGACAGCTCTCTTAATGATCAGACTAAAAGGTGGAGTGGATTCACAGCCCTACTGACAAAGAAACTACCAGCTACTGTTAACATACCCTGTAGCCCTCACACTGGATATGGAGCCCATATTGGATATCTAGCATTGAGCATGTTTAATGCTCTAGGTCCTCCAATGCAACTTTATGGTCAACTTGGTGGTGTAGTGGTTTGATGGAGATGGGATAAGGGATGTTTAATCTAGCCTCCTTGCTTCTAGCTATGGAGGGTGAACCCTGGCACCACAGTTACAGGAGAGAAGAAGGAAATTAAGGAAATATACAAGTCTCCAGTGGAGACTTTGCAAGTGGTCATGACCAATCAATAAAGCCTTGGAAATTGTAGCAAGCTGCTGCTCTATTAGCTGAGCTGAGGATTTGCACACAGCCCTTTTCCGTTACGGGGAGCTGAGCACCCCCAAAATGGAAAATGTACACTTTTGTCTCTTCCTGCAGATGACCCATGGAAATTCAGTATCAGGTCCTGCCAACTCTACTATAAGATGCATGGTATGGTTGACAAGGCAGGATTCAATACACAAAAAGAAAGGGAATTTTGGACCTATTTCTATGAAAATCTTCATATCTCATCCCCTTCTTCATTTATTGTTTCCTGAAGCTTTGGCAGCTGCTTTGATGGATTTTTAGAGTGTGACTACATGGTCCATTCAATCAGGGATCATGTAGCCACTGCATAGCCAATATGATCTGTCTAGGAGATGGCCATACCAAGACATATTGCAGGGTAGCAAATGGCATCTCTCCCACCCACCAACACACCAAATTCAACAGAATACCAATGGTGTTGTGTATCTTCATGCCATTTCTGACATGGTGACCCTAAGGCAATTTTATGATGGGGCATTTCTTGGCAAGACTTGTTCATTTGGTTTACCATTGCCTTCCCCTGAGGCTGAGAGCATGTGGGTCACCCAGTGGGTTTCATAGCCGAGTGGGAATCAAACCCTGGTCTTTATAGTCGTAGTCCAAAAATCAAACCGTCTTGGCTCTCATAAGACTGTTATTTTTTACACCTGAAGCAAAGAAACCCACAACCAGGGGCTTGTCGATACAATTAAAATATCTCTCAGTCTATATGAACAGAATGCAATCCCTCCCCATGAGATTTGGGGGAGCTTGGGCTTTTTGTGGGTGGGAGTGTGAAAAACACCACAAATTCTGCAGAAAAAAGGATTCAGGTTGTTGTTTTTTACCAGAGTATCCATCTGCAAGGAAGCACACAATCAAATGTGTGTCCATCTGCCTGTCTATGGATTTGGATGGCTGTGCATTTTCGACAGAGGGAGGGTGAATAGATGTAAATCTGCACAGGAAAGTGAAGACAATTAAACGCTGATGCGAATGAGTGAAAATCCACAGCAATTTGCATTATACAATTACGTGTAGACTAGCTCCAGGTCTCTCTATTGCCCTGACTGTAAAAATGCAACAGTAATAAATAATTTTAACAATTGGCTATTCATTATACCCAAAATCTGCTGCCTGCAGCATCTAACTAGCTGCAGCAGTTTATTTTTGCCTGAACCTGCTGGGAAGGGTAGAATAGTACCATCCACTCTAGGCTAGTGAATGATACTACAAAGCCAAAAAGGAGTGAGGCCAATCTTTGGAACTCTGTCCTTACTCTGAACCATAGATCTTTTCATAGATCTTGGAAATAACTATCAAAAGGTGGAGGATATTATTGACAAGGACAATTCTGTTCCCGAAAACTTTGTTCCACTTTTTCAGCTCATCCTTAAAGTGGATTTTAGCGAATGAGGAAAACTTGCTAGGTTCTGAGCTGCTCCCTTTGGTTGCTCATCATCCCCCCTGCAACCCAAAAGAAAGTTCCTCTAAGCATGTGCTGAGTGCCACCCTTTCCCTCTCTGGGAATATACATTTGAGGAAGCAAAACCTTGACTGCTCGCCGTTTGGAAGTGAACGCTGTGTTTTACAGATGCACAGACACACACCCTCTGGCATTTTAAAAACGCCACATGTGCATATTCCTTTGGGCCAATTCTGGGCGTTGTGGGACCTGGCTGTCTCCCCAATCCTTCTCTCTGTGGAGCCAGTGTGCAAGGATGAAAGGCCTGAGTGATAGCGGAGAAAGGGTCTCTCTGTCCCAAGTGGTGGACTGGAAACCCCATCAAGCCCTTCCAGGAACTGCCCTTCAAAGAGGAGTGCCTGCGTTTGCTTTGGCCAGGAAAAGGGGTCAACAGAGACATTTCGGGGGCCTGCGATCCTGACAACTCCCTCCTAGACAGGAGCCTATAGAGGAATCTGGGAAAGGGAGGGTAATATTAGTGGGCCAAAGATAATTATTTGCAGGGAAAGGGGCGAGCAAAAGAAGAAGGATGCAAATTGGACCATCCGGACAGGAGAGTGAATACAGTTCTTTCATTCTGGATTCCTCCCTGCTTTCAGTCTACTCTGGACTTTCATCCTGAAGGAAACCCAAAAGGTTTTCTAGTGTCCAGTTCCCCATTTCTCCCTTCTAACCCACGCAGACCCCAAGATGCTTCCAAAGAAGCTAGTCATGTTGAGTTGCGGCCCACACACTGCTCAAGTGTTTCATTCTCTCCTTCCAGACTTTCCCCATTCCCTCCTCTCTTTCTCTCGCTCAGTCCTCGTTCATTTTCACTCTCTCCTTTTCAGGGTGGATGCAGATCCAGCTGGACTCTGGACAATTGGACCCAGGATGCTTTCTTCGGCTCCAGATCCCAGGAATATGCAACGGGAGCTGAGCTCATGGATAAAAATACGTCCGTCTGTGGGTCTCCTGGGGAAGGGAGAGCAAGAAAAACAAGAGTGTGAGAAAGGGAAAGTTCAAATTCAGGCTGGAAACCCATGGGCAGGAGTGGGGCATTGATCAGGGGGGTAATGGAAATGGTGAGGGGCAAAGCAGGATGGCACGGTGCCTAGTTTCTGGAACGGGATGTGCCAGGTTTCAAGAACATACCTGAAAATAATGCCTCTCTGCTTTGGAAACTCTCTTTTGAGCTCACATAAGGGTTGGTTGTGTGGCTACTTAGTGTTTCAGGAAAAACACTTTAGGCATGCCCAGAGGCTCAGTACTTTCTGTTCTTAGGGTACATATTTGATCTGATCAAGAATCTGTGCCCAACTACTGAGGAAACCAATGGATAATACTTTTATCTGCGTCCTTAAGCCTGTCAAATTGTAAAGATTATATCTGACAATACTGCCCCTCTTTCCTGGAAACTCATTCTCTTAGATTTACAACTGTAGAGGCTAAAAGGAAAAGCACTTTACACATGGCCAGAGGCTCACTATTCTCTGTTACAGAGTCACACATTTGATCTGATCAAGAATA